GGGCAGAGAGGGCGTGGCCGCCGCGCGGACTGGGCAGAAAGGGCGTGGCCTCCGCGCGGACTGGGCAGAAAGGGCGTGGCCTCCGCGCGGACTGGGCAGAAAGGGCGTGGCCTCCGCGCGGACTGGTCAGTGTGGGTCAGGGCAGGAAAGGGGTGCGGCCTTGATGTGGATGAGGCAGAAAGTGGGGCTGTTCCTGCATGATAGTCACACTCACCTCTCTGCGGCGCGACGCCCAGCAGCTCTGCTTGATCTTCCACACCACGGCGGCCACCAACAGCAGGGACAGGAAGCAGCTGCAGGGAGAGGACAGCACCATCACGGGCATTAGGGGGTAGAGCAGACTGAGCAGAAAGGGCAGGGCTACCACCTGTGACCTACTGAGCATGCCCAGAACACATCAACATGGAAAACACAGCCTGGGCCTGTGAAAGAGGAGAAACATGCAGAAATCTTGCACATAAAATTACCAGAAACATTTGACACATTACTAAGAAGCCTGGGGCGTCAAGTGTCTGCAAAAGGAAAGAAAATGTGTAAAGGCCAACATATTAAATATACCCAAAAGACAGTTGGATCATAAGGTATAGAACCACTGCAATGATTACAAAGTGTGACCCAGGATACCCCTGTAAACCCAACACCCTGCACACCAAGAACAAGCTGACATGCCAATGAACGAGTGATAACACAGAAATACAACATGGGTGGGAAATGAGTGACAGTTAGTGGTAAATTCTCCAAGCGGCGCTAAAGCTACATAATCACCGTCCACTTCTCTTCACCACAGGGGCAGCAGCCGCCAAAATAATCGGCAGGACCAGACAATACAGCCCACAGGGTGACACTGTACAGCAATGTGGTTATGCAGCTGCTATTTAAATGTCACTAAACAGTGTTTAGCAAAGATTACGATGAATGTCGCAGGCTAGCCTGTTGCTACTGAATGTACAAATGCTAAACTTTCAAACCATAAAACTGGGGATTGCAAGAAAAACACAATCCAAACTGGCTGTCTTGGCTATGCATCTTTGTGAGCCAGTATAAGAGGACCCATCACTAAAGAGCAATGGCAATAAGGAAGGAGCTCAAAACTGCACCCCAAGATGGACAGAGTAAGAAGCCAACCCCCAATTTGTTTACCCTGCCAAATGTGGTGGAAGCCACCAGCATGATGCTGAAGGGTGATTAGGACCAACCGGTGGTGCAGAAGCACTAGAGTAGAAACAGAAGGCGAGTCAAAAGACCTCATACCTGCTTGGGAATAATCAAAGCAGCTTTGCCTGTGGAATTATGCAGGATGATTAGTAAGCTAATTCATTCATTACAAAGGTCAATATTACCTATTTTCACAATAGGCCTGTAATTTGAATCACACTAATACAGAAAGCACAGTGCTCCAATTAACCTGTGTGTGGATGCTGAATTTGGAATGCCTAACCACAAGGCCAGAGATTAATGGACACACAGGCTGGGCATGCCTTTTAGGAAGTCATAAGAAAGCAGACAAAAATCACAGGGATATAAAACTACATCTGTGTCAGATTCGTTTTCATTAGAACTAATATATTTTTTTAATATTCAAAATTAGACACTGAAAGGACACATTCAATCATTAAATGGTGCTTTAGACAGACAGGTAGGCAGGCAGGCACCGACAAGACTGGGAAGAGCTGGGGGTGAAGGTGGCAGGAGGACTGGAGGTTAACTGCAGGTGGAGCAGTCAGCAGCTGAGAGGGAGGAATCAAAACAAGGCCATTGGAAGGTGGTCGTGGAGAGCTGTAATTATCACTAATGAATTGGGGAATTCACTCCTCCACAGGAAGGGGTCACTCTGGCGACATATAAACCTACCCTGACTGAGGTTCCCCGTGTCTCTAATACATCTTACATGTAATAATAACAATAGCAATAACAACAACATTATTATTATTATTACTACTACTGTACCTCACATATATTTAGATCATGATGCATATTCAATGTCAAAAGCTTGTATGATGATGCCAGTTGGTGAATTCAGTTACTTTCTTAGATCACTTTTCAACTGCACCAGGTACCGTACTTTTGGTACTTCAAGAAAGGACTAAAGGTACGGTACTTCAAGGCATTAGTTTTCCACTGGTGTAAAAACTGGTACCGGTGACAAATGACATCTCAATTCAAGGCGGGTATCTTGTACTGAATTTGAAAAAAATACTGTAGTATCTTGCAGGGCTGGGCAATGTGCAATATTAACACCCAAAATCACGTTATGCACATCCAATAGCTAGTTAGCTATATTAAAATTACAATTTTTCTTACCCTCAATTCTGAACGGGCATTTTAACACGGGGGTTAAACTTTCGCTAAACTATTTTTACTCAGTTACTCTGTCATAAGGAAAAAAAAAACATTTTAATTATTCCTTTTATAAATGATCTAATATATGTTTAAAAATCAGTTTAAAGTTTTTGCATAAGCGCTATACTTGTTCTCCAAAACAATCATAATCATTTTCATCCTTGCTGTTTAACCCTTTGGGGACTAGGGGTAGGGAACACACTTTCACTGACTGGGGTATGATCACACATTTCTTCCAATATCATAAACTTAATTCATGGCAAATAAATTATTTCTTATATATTTATTTTGGCATTACACTCATCTTAATTTTAATGTATATAATGTATTATGTTAAGTTGCATTGCAAAATGCAGTTTGGAACACTTGCAGAAACATTATAAAAGTACATAGTAAGCAATGGTGGCAGTTTGTTTTGATCCCAGATATCTGATCACCAAAGTCTTGGCTACATGAAGATGACTAAATGGTGTAGTTGCAACATTCAGTTGGATAAATAAATAAGAAAAACCGAACTCATGTCGTTATTTCTTGCTTCCTTCCATTGAATATGTAGGAGCTCTTATGTGTATGAATGAGTCATTGTCACCTGGCCACGTCCCCCACCCCCTTTTATAATACTGACAGGGATGTATCTGGATCGCGTTTCACCATTGTGTTGTTCTTCAGATTACCATGCGAATGCGATTTGAATACGCGCTAATGCGGCTATTTAGAATGTGAATAGCGATCTTCGGGTGAGAGCGGTACTACACGCCCCCGATGCAGGCAAAATAAGGTGACATGGTTTTGCCTATTTAACCTAATTTTAAAAACTTTAATACTCACGACAATGGACGTTTTGAAAAGACGACAGATTACAGATTTAGTCAGCATTTTTTTCATGATTCTATATAAAGATTTCAGCAAGATACAAACTGAAATACACGAGGAAGATACGTGGCATCGGCAACAATGCCCTCGTCCCCAGAGGGTTAAATCACTCGAAGACAGGTTTGTGAGAAATTTCTGAGCTCCTTTTATGTTTTATTTTTATTTTTTGTTTAGCATTGTTTTCTGAGTTCACAACTGCTTTCAAGGTGGTATTTGTATTGCGTTTCAGCGGCAGGTTATTCGCATAACCAATCGACAAAGAAAGCATTTCAAGTTCCACCCCAAAGTACTAAAGAAGTACCCCAGCTGGTTCTGCACTTTCGATACCGGTACTCAGCTGAAAGTCAATGGAAAAGTGAAAGTACCAAAAGTAACGTATTTGTTTTGGTGGAAAAGTGCCCTTAAGTAGGATCCACATACGCACCCGGACATATTTAAAGGGAAATCAGCTGTGTGTGTCGTGGCTGAAATACAGCCACCCCTGAAACTATTTTTTTTTTATTTCACATCTGATGGGAAGGCCCTCTCAATTCAGCATGCAAGCTTTGGAGATCGGCTACAACCTCGGGCCAGCAAAGGGGATTCTGAGGAACAGTTGAGCAGTTCCCGCACCCTTCTCGGGGTAGGAAATGCCAGGGACTGTGGGGAAATCAGGAGGACCTCTGATGTGTTTGATCAGCCACAGAAGCTCAAAAAACACAAGCTTCTGCCATGCCTCTAAACATGCCATCTGCAGTCTGCCTACAGAGTCTCATTGACAAAATGTTTAGGTCTTATTATTCTCTTATTCACCGAGAATCTGCCCTGGTTCAATGTTTCCGAAAAAACTTGACTTGGCGTGAGAACACAGGGCAAAAGAATAACATCTGCCCCAAGCCCATATCTCTGCTCGGGCTCTTCAAACCTGTGACCCGGAGCAGCTCACAGGCCTTGCTGGGTCTTAACGAGTGTGAGCCTCATGCCTTCTGGCTCGACCCAGCTTACTAGCTTTCTGAGTTTCCAGTTCCCTGGCCTCTATCGGCTGTCCAGATACCTGTAAAAAGTGGGTAGAATCTGACATTGTGGTAAAATCACACAGCACGATCTCTCATTATACAGCAGTATAAACAATAATTATGCTGTGCAACTGTTCAACTGTTTACTGGAAAAAAGGGGAAAAAAACCTCCCAACTTTCTCCCATAACAAAAACACATTCTTTTTACAGTAAATGCATTAAGTTTCATTAAAAGTATGCAAAGGTATCCAAGTGCAAACTAAGTAAATATCAGGGGTTCAATTAAACAGTGCATCAAACACTAATCCAGTGGTTCTCGACCCAATATTTACCATGCCAGCTCAGTCATGACCCAATATCAAGTACAGGTTTAAAGTAACGCTATGATCAAGCATGAAACGCACTCTGCAATTTACACCAATCAATGCCTATTGCACAAATCTGATTGGATGTGCCAGTGAATTTTAAATGAAGCATATGCGGTTTGGCTTCTTTGATTTGCAGACCCAAGACTCGTTTATTTAAGTTAATTCAAATTCAAATTGGTTTGAAAATCGCTGCTCTAATCATCTGGAAATTGAGAGGCAGTATGTCAGAGTATTCTACTCATAACAGACAGGCAAACAGACAGAAACACACACCTAGTAACTGGATAGACCATTCTTCTGCATTCTGGGTTTGCAGCATTTACCATAAGCACCATAACTATTGATGTTCCAATATATGCAGTATAAAGCAGACAGATGAAATGGGAAATTCCACCCCATTCCACAATTCCCACCTGTGTTAGCTGAACAAAGCACAGTAACATCCCTATCAGAGTCCTGATGTTTCACTTCTACTGTACAAGAGATCCAAAAATTGTAAAATAACTCTGAAAGAGGTATTAAAAAACAGTTATATAATATATTTTAAAATGTGACCTTTTGAACCCATTAAAAAGTGTGGGAAAAGCATTAATGTGACCTGTCTAATTTAATCTTTGCATTGGAAGCACAGCACTTCTTCGTGACGTGTACTGACACGACCCTTGAAAATTCCCCAGAGCTGTGGACTGCAGCAGCCTCAGCCATCAGCAGTGGAGCAGCAGCCAATACGTTCTGAAGTCACGCATATTCAGGGCAAAGGAACGTGTGTGACCGACCAGAAGCGGGGATGTGCCTTTTTCTGGGTCATGCTGAAGTGCGGCCCCTCCACACCACGAATGAAGATCCCAGGACCAACGAGTGCCTTGGCCACCGTGGCTGAACCTAAGAGACCATGGTCTTGGATCTATTCTAACCTTCAGGGGAATCATTCTCAAGGTAAAATAAAATAAAAAAAACTATTGCAGGTAAGGTGGAAAAAATCAATTCCCACACAGACAATTGCAACATAAATCTAAGAAATATCTAACCAACTCATTACATGTGATAGTTTTTTTTTTTTTTTTTTTTAGGTTAGGAGACTACAGATCAATAGCAACAAAGTCTTCCAAAAAATAGCAAGGCTCAATGAAGTTTATTCAATTGATTTTAAAAATCACTATGACTGGAACTAGAATTTAATATTGACAGAAAGTAATAGAAATTCCAAATTCAAAGTAATAAAAATTACTGAATTTCAGAACCAGAACTATATTGTTACATGGTAATCTGTAATGCTATGGTGAGTAAGGAAAAGGGCGAGTCTCACACAGCGACAATCCCGCCCCGTAGCCCGAGAAGGCCGAGCTCCTCACACAGCGACGATCCCGCCCAGTACCCCGAGAAGGCCGAGCTCCTCACACGGCAACGATCCCGCCCCGTACCCCGAGAAGGCCGAGTTCCTCACACGGCGACGATCCCGCCCCGTACCCCGAGAAGGCTGACCTCCTCACACGGCGACGATCCCGCCCCGTACCCCGAGAAGGCCGAGCTCCTCACACAGCGACGATCCCGCCCCGTACCCCGAGAAGGCCGAGCTCCACACACAGCGACGATCCCGCCCCGTACCCCGAGAAGGCCGAGCTTCACACACAGCGACGATCCCGCCCCGTACCCTGCGCTCACACAGTGGTGGTCCCGATCTAATCAGTGAAGGCTGGCAGTGCTAGGCTGAGGTTATCCTGTCCTTCACCAGCTCCAGACCCTCTGGCTGTTGAACTGACCAATTCCTTTCACACAAGATGGTTAATGGCCAAGTAGCCATGTAGATTGATACCTGTTGGGCAGTGGTGGCTTGATGGTTAGGGTAGCG